GGCATTGCCGGGCTCCTGAAGGCCAATGACGGCGCACAGGTGCTCAAATGTTTCAAGATAGAGGCGGAAATGGGCCCAATTGGCCCTATCTTTGAAGCCTCTACAGTTCCGGTGAATTAAAGAGAGTAACAGAGGTTTTCGGTGTGGCGATGGGGAGCAGTTAAGATGAGTCGCCATTGAGAATTTGGGGTGGCCGGGAGGGACTATACTTCTACTTCGGCGCCCTGTGCAAGTGGGAGCTCGGAGTCCTCGGATGTTTCCGCGAGGCTGATGGCGTGTCAAAACTTATACCCGTGCCACACGGGTATAGAAAATGGCATTTACCCCCAAATGCCTTCAGATTTATTGCCATTCGCGCGGTGCCACACGGGCGAACAAAATGGCATTCGTCCGAATGCCATTCGCCACCAAATGCCTTCGCCAGAACTCAGTTGACTAAGAAATGCCTACTCTCGACGACAGAACTCGCGAAGTGCGATTTACCTTAAGGTAAATAAAAGAAATCGTATTCAGCTAAAAATAAAATTTCCCGTCTTTTATTTGCACTAAACTCTTAAAAAAGTGCTTTGAACGTTATACGAAGATCAGGTTGAAATGGTTTGAAATTAATTGAAGTTTAATGTCCTGAAGCTGGCGCATAATAACTCGTCTCTGCTCCAGAATTATTCGCTCTTGAGCACGATGCTTTGCACGGAAACACACAAGTGCTGCCGTGAAAAAATGAACTCTGTGAACATCTTCTGAGACACGGAGGAAGGAAAAGGTCCTCCGTGTTCTGAGAGATGCGACAGGTGCGATGCGACAGGCGCCATTTTCTATTTACGCTGTGGATCTGACTAGTGTTGGCTTAGGTTGCTACGGTCGGCTGCAACGTCGTAAAACAAAGCAAGAAACTAAAACACAGGGCAGCGTAATATGCTTATTTCTACATTTATAGATTATCTGATGTGTGTGAAGCTTGTAAACGCTTGTTTATTTTTTATTGCTATTCACACAATGCTCACTTGGAAGGTGCTGCGATCGACATCATCAAGTCAAATGTCATTCGCTTTGGACGTGTAGCAGCGCCGCCGAAAAAAAATGTCATTCGGGAACTGAAGGCCTTCGCCACCGAATGTCATTTTCTATGCCCGTGAGGCACGGGTATTAAAGGGACGATTAACGTCCTTCAGGGGATTAGCCCTTCGGCTTCGAGGGTTTACGCCATGGAGCCAAGTTTTAATGTTACTCGTCGCCTGTTGGGTAACAGTGTTGGAAAGAGTTCCCAGGCTTTTGGTTATGACGGTGAGTTGTGTCACTAAAGCGGTCATAGTACTTTCAATAGCCTGAAATCACTCTTCAGTTTTAGAAGGCTCCGAGACGGAAGGAATAGTGCACATGGGCATCGGTTCTGGAGCGGGAATGATAATATTGGTGGGGAGTGACGCGAGGGGGACTGGTGGACTACCTGTCTCCAAGGCGGCAGTTTCGGCTTGAAGCTGCGCGTTCTGTGCCCGCAGAGCAGCAAGCTCTTGTTTCAGCTCGAGGAATTCGGGGGAGGAGGCGCGGAAGAAAGAGCAAGAGGAGAAGGAGGAGGCAGCCCTCGCCCCGTTGCCTACCTGAGAAGCAGTTTTCTTGTTCGGCCACTTACGACGGCGCCGGATTAGTCAGAGGTGGAACGTCCCCAGATTGGAACACGGGAGCACCCTGGTCAGGTGTCTTGGATGACGTTTGCTGTGACGGTGTCTTAGATGGAGGTGGTGCTTCTTGACTGGTCCCTCCAGTAGCAGGGTTCTTCGTGGCTTGGTTGGTAGCTCCCGGCTGACATCCTTCTGGCACGACGCCAGATGTCTTGGGCGTTGACCGCTGCTTCGACGAGCCGCGACTGCCATGATGCCCGCCCAGCTGCTGCAGGCGGCGAAACTTGCTTTGCAGGCCTGGGATCCGGTGAGGTGTCCCTCACCGCACACCAGGCACGATGGCTTGCACTCGTGGGGTGCCGTCTCCTCCTCAGAAGCCCCACAACTTGACCACAATGGCCGCAGCGTTGGTCGTTCGGGTGGGAACACAGCTCCACCCGGTGGCCCACCGTGCCACAGCGTTAGCAGACTGGAATGGTGCGTTTGTATTCGCGTACTGGTGTCACAACGCTGTTGTAGTGCACGAAACGTGGCACGCGGCGGCCCTCGAAAGTTATAAGGACCACCGAAGTCTTGCCAAGCTTTCTGATGAAAGCGATGCTTCCACTACACCAATGGATCTTTGTTTTCAAGGAGGTGGAGGTCTCGTGCTCGAGCACCGTAATGACGCCACGGCACACTTCCCCACTGATCTTGGTGTGGCCGATCATTGGTAGGGGACCTTGTGATGTTTCGAGTGAGAATTCTCGAGAAAGAAGGTTCGCAGAGTTGATGTCTTCGGTTGAGACAACAATAATATTTTGATCCCACATGGGCCACACACTGATAGAGTCACTCGAGGTAGCGTTCACGTATGAGGTGAGCTTGGTGCTTAGTTCACCTGGTTGAAAAGTAGCTTTGATATCCACCGAGACACGAGGAGTCAGCCCGATGGTGAAGTCTTCTGCAGCAATGCGGGGCATAGCGGTAGGCCGCCACGATCACGAAATGTCTTCTTCTCGGGTGGTATGTTCGCGGACGCGGCCTTACTTGGTAGCCGAGCACTTGGTAGCTTTAGATTGCTGGCGACGCTTGCGGAGGGCCACCACGGTGAACAGTCCCTCATTCACGATATCTGTTGGTGGAACGGAGTTTTCGGGCACTGGGGTAGAAATTTCTTTCCACGCCAACGTCGTAGGATCATATTCACGGAGAGCGGTGACCGCCATCTGTGGCTGCGGCCGCAGAGAAGTTCCGACGCAGTCGGCGTTCGGTGCAACGCTCGGCAGGGCGAGCGTAGCTCCCACGAGGTCAGGTCAACAAGTGGACATAAAATGCCCCAAAATTGGCCCACCTGGATGAGAGAGGTGTCTTCTAGTGCAGAACGATGTTACGAAGAAGATAAGATCAATCTTGGTGAAGTGTGAAGCAGGGTTCCACCGGTCCTCACGAATAGAGCGGGAGCCGATGCGACGCGTGTCCGCTCTCGTCGCGCACTCGTAGCGTTCCTTCACGCTGTCGGCGAGTCCTGCCACGCTGGCCATGTTTTTTCGTGACACTCAGTACCGGAATGCGCGGCTGGCTAGCGAAAATAGATGTTCGGTCACGAGCACAACATACACTGCGCATATAACGAAGAACAGCTGTTGATTTTAGGCACCAATGCAGCAACACATGCCTAGATGCATGCAACTAAAATACACGGCCGGAGGCTACAAATTGAATGTCACTGTGTACTGACGGCAAAGATGTGTTGTGTGAAATGATGTGATACTTCGGCTTTCCTGCTCACCACCGCAGCATTCATGGACGCAAATTCCCGTTAAAGCACGAATTGCGGCGTAGTCCCCGATATGGGCCACGCACTAGTTTATTATACAGCAGCCAAAGAACCGAGACAACGAGTGTATCACGTATACCATGCTACCTGCCGTTGGTGAAACTCTGTCTGAGGTGGTGTACTGAATCATTGAAAAACCTAAGAGGCTTACTATTTAGTGTAGAAACATACAAATCCGAGTGCCAGAAGCGATGTATTTCATTCGGAAAATCCGATGAAGAGTGTGCTCGCACATACCAAAGGGTGACCAAAACACGGCCGAAGCTCACCACTGAGGCTTTTTATATAAACTCTTATTGTGACTCGAGCGAACAGGCACAAAAATTTAGGTTTCAATTTTGCGAGGTGTATATACTCCACGTCCCAAAAAATCAATCACTGAAAACAAGAGCAATGAACCGGAGAAGCACAGGAAATGCTGCGTAAAACACGCTCGCAGTTCTTAAACCTTCACCTAGCTAGAAAAGCTGTCTAATGTAACCATCCCAGCAAACTCTTGCTTTTGCTTCTTCATGAGCGCGCAACAAGAACCATATGTACGTTAAAAAGCCAGAACAAAACAAAAAAAGCGACTGCAAACACTGTTTACTTATTATAAAAGTCCCGTTACACATAGTTCAATCAGTGTACAAACGCAATCATATGGTGCTTTTGGGACGTTAAACCCCACATATCGATCAATCAACAAACGCGTCAAAGCCGAGCGGTTGTAGATAAAGAACCTCGCAGTACAAGGGTGCCAAAGGAAGGATACTTGGATCAAAGCGTGGTTTTTAGCTACGACTGAAAACAGCGGTTAGCCGGCGCGTTCCGCGAGCAACACTTCCCGCCAGAGCAACGGGCGTCGCGCAAGAGCAGCGGCGCATGTGAAACGAACGCGCGTCCTCCCGCTGCTCATCGCCGCGACCGCCGCCGCTCGCTCGCTACGCATGTGAAACGGGAAGGAGACAACCCTATCTCGTTCCGAGGACTTGCTGAAGCACTGCCATGCAAAGTGACGCACATGCATTGAGCAGAATTTCCTTTGCCATGTTCCAGAGGCCGGCGTGTCCTTCCGCCGAGGATTTCATACGTACTGGTAAGTGGCATTTCCTTTCCTGTCGCATTGCCAGTTTTCTCTTTTGACAAAATTCACTTTGATCTGCGCAACTGATGAGTAAATGCGGTAGTTTCTTCTAGCTGACGGATAAGAATGGTTCGGGTGAACGGCTCTTGTACCAGACGTCGTTGATCGTTTACGGGTAAATAAACGCCTTTCGTGTTTTTGTTGTTCTTTTTATATTGAAAGAGCATGACAAATATACCTATTTTGTTATCCTTTAGGGAGCACTGCAGCAATGACTGCAAAAAGTGTGGATAGCGTGATGCACTGGTCTCGCCGTACTGAAAGGAAGTCTGGTAAGATGCATGCTTGGTTGCTAAGGCCTACGCAATTTTTTAACGTTGCTTTAGGTCGCAAATGGGCTGTAAACACCGACTGAAAAATATCTCCCTGGCTTGACTTGAAGGTAATTGTGTTGTCCTTAATACATTTGCTGCACTGTTTGCTTTCCAGCGACATATTACGAGGAAACTGTGCTCCGGGCTTTAAACACGTTTCATAATCTCAACGCGCTGACATAATTATTGTAAGTGGACAGTTTTTTTGTGTATATACTTACAAAAATCTTTTCTCAAATTGTGCAAATACAGCTTATAAACGCATGCGACTGTACAACTAATCATGTAAATAGTCTGCCTTTCTCTAAATATTATTCGTTCTGTTTGTTCTTTTCAGCTTTTCCCAGCAACAGAACGATACAATTAAGCCTCACACCTCGGTGGTAAAACGTCGCACAACAAATACGTATTCACAGCCAAGAGCACAAAAATTCGCCGAAATAGAGAACTGAACTACCAGGAATGTCACTGCATCGACTGTATAATTGGGTTGCACAAGGACTGCTGCAAATCGTTTCATGCGATTAAAGTTGCATGAAAACATAGTGGAATAAACATATAAAGTGAGGAAGCTTGCGTTCGTTTTTTTTATTGCGTGTTACGTACTCACACGCTAACTTTAGAGGCGTTTAATTTCATCTTACATGTGCACTGAGCCAATATGTCATGTGCGCAAAATACAAAAAGAAAAGCGCAGCAAGGAACGTTGGCAACCGACCTGCAGCCGTCGGCATATCGATGCTTATGTAAAGTCGAGCCATGGTCAACCCGCGTGCATCACGCACTCGGACCCGTCGGCCAACGCGGTCGGCCCAGCGTTGTGTTCCGACGTCGGCAGGCGTGAGGCCATTGTCACTCCCCAAGACCGGCCCTACGTTGGTTGCCAAGGTCGGGCCAACCACTTCGCACGGTCAGTCACAGACCTCTCACCGACCTCTTGCCGGGGACAAATCGTTGCTTTGGAACGCGCTTCCCCTTGAATTATCATGAAACCTCTCCCGCTTTATTTCGTTCTTGCCCTTTCGGTAGTTACTGAGAGCCGGCTTATTTTTCATCGCTGTCATCAAATGAATCCTCTCCGCCTCTCTGACTTTTCGCTGATCGATTCCTCCTCCGACATGGACGCGCAGACCCCCGAAGGAGTGCGCTAGGAAGCGCCGCAGACCGAACGTCCCTCTTACATCTCTCCACCTCTCCGAAGAGATTTAGATAGCTATCAAGACGACACTGGTGGATCTTGAAAAACGGTTGGAAAGCCGCTTTACCTCCGTCCACCAGCTTCTCACTCAACGCAAAGCTCTCAATTCCCTGCGCACAGACTTTGCCGCGTAACCCCCGCCACGTCTTTCGAATCTCTTCAATCGACAGTTGACACCCTGCTCGAAAACATCCGAGCCAAGCCACCGTTCCATGCCCGCACCACCTACACTTCCGCAGCCCGATCCTATCCATCATCGGCCGAGGGAATGTCATCGGCTGTCAAAAATGACTGACCAATCATCGTAACCATTTGGCAGTGGAACTGCCGTGGTTTTCGTCACGTGAACACCTCTTTTCCACCTTCAACAAATAGACCCCTCGGCCTCTCCTGATATCATCGTACTACAGAAAACTCACGCCAACGTTTCCCTCTCCCGTTACGTTGCCCACAACCAAGTAGCTCATGATCCCCTGCCCCACCCCGTCACGGCCATCCTCACCCGGCGGGCGCTCGTTGTCAATCGAGCCGATCTGGCTTTCCCTGAACTGCACCAAGTTTCTCTCGAGGTACTGCCTGAGAGATGCGAGCAGTGCACTTTTTATTCTCAATGTGTACAACACCCCTCTTGCCACGGAAGAAGCATCGCTCCTCGCCCTGGTTCGTGCCCCTGCAGCGACAGCAGCCAAATCCCCCCTTCTTATTCTCGGCGACGTCAACGTGCAGGCATCAGGGCTGGGGTTACCATAAGGTTCGGAAGGAGGCTGTGGCAGCTCGCTCACGACCTCAACTTTTCCTTGCTCATCGATCCCACGCAGCCAACCCGCATCGGCAACAGTGTGTGCCGCCACACTACACCATACCTGAGCTTCTGCCGTAGTGTGCGCGACGCGCGCTGGTCCAACACGCACCATTTCCTCGGCAGTGACCACTATGTTCTCACAATTCAAGTGAACACGTCCCTCTGCAAGCCACGTCCACACACAACCCGCCACACAGATTGGGACGCGTTCCGAAAACGCCGGCTGCACTCTGCTGCCCCCAACATCGAGGACCTTTCGACATGGACCGATCAGCTGCTAGCGGATCTTGACACGGTCACTGCCTCAATCATTACCACAGAGGACCATCCCGCAATCGACTCCCGCCTTGCCCATCTGTGGGCCGCTCGAACGGGACTCGCCAACCGTTGGCATACGCAACCGTCACAACCGTCGCTTACGCCGCCGCATCACACACCTCCATCGTACTATTGAGCAGCACGCCAACAATGGGAACAACTCTGCTCGGAGCTCTCCGGTCAGTTGGGCTGCAGTCTTGGCATCTCCTCCGCCACCTCCACGACCCTGCTTCCGGCAAGCCGGTCGCTCGCCAGCAACTACAACCTACAACGACTGGTCCGGGCCTACCCCGGTGACACTCCGTCGCTGATGGCAGGCCTGTCAGCGAAGTACTTCCAGCTTCTGACCCTTGGTGTACATTGTTCCCCTCTCGCATCCTGCACTGGGGCTCCCAACGCAGAACTCGACGCCGACAACACGGAAGCGGCGGTCTACGTGGCTTAGAAGTGTGGCAGCTTGGGCTAGTTGGTATGGCATGACGATAGTTATAGCGCGAGAACAAAACGACGACACAGAGTCTTTTGTGTCCTTCTTGTCTCTGTGTCGTCGTTTTGTTCTCGCGCTATAACTATCGTCTACGTGGCATTACAGAAGGTCCGCACCACCTCAGCGCCCGGTCCAGATCGCATCCCCAACAAGCTCCTCCAAAACCTCGACGCTCCTTCGTTCATTACCCTTACTTTTTTCTTCAACGAGCACGTGCTGGTGCTCGGGCAACCTACCTTAATCATGGAAACACGCTCGCGTGGCTTTCACTCCCAAGCCAGGAAAGAAACTCACAATCGAGAATCTCAGGCCCATTTCACTCAATTCATGCGCCGGCAAGCTTCTGGAACACGTCGTTCCCGCTCACCTGCAAACGTATCGGACACGCTCACCATCTCCTTCCCCACACCACGCTTGGATTGCGCCCCCAACTCTCGACGCAAGATGTCCTCTTGCGACTCCACCATGACCTCCTCGACCCACCCACATCACATTATCAGACACTAAGGCTCTCCTTAGCCTCGAACTTCATAAAGCGTTCGACAACTCCTTTAATTCGGCTATCCTTGCCGCACTCTCAGCCCTCAATCCTGGCACCCGCACCTACAACTTCATTCACGCATTCCTCACGAACCGCACGGCCGAAATCATCATAGGGGACCTCCCGTCTCCCACGTACGAGCTTGGCCCTCACGGCACCCCTCAGGGTGCCGTATTGTCGCCTTTCTATTTAATCTTACCCTCCGCTCACTCCTTGGAAAGCCGGACCGTATCGCCGGTATCAAACACACCCTGTACACTGACAACGTCGCCCTTTGGGTCACATCGGGATCTGATAGCCACATCGAGCAGGTACTGCAACGCGCAGCCGACGTCGTGGCTTCCCACGTGCACGTGGCTGATCTCACTTGCTCGGCAGCCAAATTGGCCCTCCTTCTCATGCGGTCTTCCGACCACCATCGCTACAAAACGCCTCACCCTACTATCACTGTGCACGTCAACTTTACTCCTGTGCCCATCATTCCCCATCTCCGCGTGCTTGGGCTGATATTACAGTCCAACCACCATAACATACACCATCGACAAGCTCTCGCTCTCGGTGCAACAGACCGCAATATTCCTCGCTTGTGTCCACGCGCTGCGTGCAGGAATGCGAGGACACGATCTGCTTCGCCTTGTTGACGCCTTCGTTGTTGCCCGCATCACCAACAGCCTTCCTTATACTCGTCTCCTTAAGTCAGAACGCGACAAGACAGACGTCCTCATCTGTCGGGCATACACGACCGCTCTAGGCCTTCCCCTCAACACATCTCCGGATCGTCTTCTACGCCTTGGTGTACACAACACCTTCGACGAGTTGAGGCTCACCGGTTTCCCTTGATTCCGTGCCGATCGGTTGTACCCTCGCGATCTCCGACGTCAGCGTAGCTCTGGCCGACAGGATTGGCCCTACGTCATCTCCTGACGCCGATCTTCGACGACAGCGTAGCTCTGACCTACTGGACTTGCCCTACGCCATCTCCTGACGCCGACAAGAACTCTCGCCAGTGGTGCCCCGTCCTCGGACTCCTGCAACCGTGTCCATCTTTCCCGTCATCTTCTCACTTCCGTCGTTCACTGTCCCTGCGCCTCGCTCTCTCCTTCCTCTATATCTATCTCTTGAGCTTTTAATCCTATCCTTTTAATCCCTTCTCTACCCCCATTCCTCCTGAGCTACTGTTGAGGTGTCCTCCCCCTGAGAGACAGTTACGGGGCTTGTTACGTTTGGCCCGGCAATTCGTCTGGCCAGAAGCCATTGTGCGTAAGCCGGTCTACTAGGGAGGCTTTCAACCCCATCGGCGCCCAGTCTGCAAGACGCTGTCCGGTAGACGTGCCAGGAAGCAGTCGGGTCTCAACGGAAGCTTCACGAGGCAAGCCTTTTGTTTAACGGGCTCGTACAGGCGGCGGGGGAGGGGGGGGACGGCGCCACTGTACCGGCGCCGTTGGACCGTTTCGCCTAGCCGAGTGGTGCAATATCTGTACCCTTTCTGGTGGGTGGACCACAATGACTTCGTCCCCTGCTTTGTGGCAAGAGTGATCACCGCGTCCTTCGGACGGCGGGCTATAAAAGCCGAAGCATTTTTGTAAATACTGCTGAATCTTGTGTGGAGTCATGAGCTGAACCATGAACTGAATCTCTGTTGTACATATTGCGGGATCTTCTGGATCGCTGTACAGTTCCTATCCTTCTTCTATAATGTAAATAAATCTTTCGTTCTTCTGGATCGCTGTACAGTTCCTATCCTTCTTCTATATGTAAATAAATCTTTCGTTCTACCTAGAACAAACGCGTCTCCTCACTGGCGAAGATCAGCTATGAGGACGACGGCGGGAAGCCCGCTACCCTAAAGAGAACCCGTCGTACATGCCATAGCGACCTTCCTACCCTTAACAGGCTCACTTTTCTCTTCTTTTCATTTAAAATCACTTTCCCCTCCACTCAGGTGCAACGCCTCTACCGTTCACCGACCGGTCGCCACATCCTTTCCTCCATCGGCCACAACACCTCCTCCCACCCTCCGGATCTGGTCTCATGCCCCATGCTGTTCGAACGGCCTTCTGCATCAAGCCGCTGCCTAGGAATATGCTCGCGGGCCACCACGACGCTCGCCTCCAAGCCCGCGTGACCATGCTTCACGCCAAGTACGCTGACCACCCGGCCGTTGCCTACGTGGATGCGGCCCGTTACAACTCATTCAGGGACGCCTTCGTAATCGTCTCCGTGTCGCCCTCCTCAGCGCCTTCTGGACCTGCAATCGTGGCCAGCACCGTTCGAACACCATACGCCGTCGCAGCGGAGCAGGCGGCCATCACTTTGGCTGCGACCTCGGCCGACGCTCGCGTCATACTCAGTGACTCCAAACGAGCCATCTCAAATTTCTCGCGAGGTCTTGTCTCGCCTACTACCCTATGACTCCTTCGCCCGCTACTGCAGCAAGACGAGCAGCGCCATTTCGAACTGATCTGGGTCCCTGCCCACTCGGGTCACACCGGCAACGAGACGGCTCACCAACAAGCTCGAGGACTCGTCGACCGAGCGGTGGGCCCCTCGACGGTCGGGCGCCCCAGTGCCGGAGCCCCTGGTCACTTACCACGACATTACTCAGCACTATCGCCTCGAGCCAGCCCACCCCGCTCACCGAGGAACGATGGGAGGTTATTTGCAGCACCGACAGAGACATCCAAACACGGATCCTGGACCGAGCGCAAGCCGTGATCGAGAGGCACGGCCTGGCAGCCTACTTGGCTTAGCCTCCCTCACCCTTTCGATGAATAAAAGTTATCACTCACTCACAATATGTTTGCACAGTTGCCTCACAGCAGAAGTAACCAGTGAGGAGATGCAGCGAAAATAAAAGTTTCACTCGCACACAACGGTAAGCCCTTGGCGGATAACAGTGCAGCGTGTGTGCAAACTCTTTTTATAATGGGGGGGGGGGGGGTATTTGCCTGTGTACATACTCGTTTGAGAAGCTCCTGATTATCCGGAGAAAACGGTGCTCGGAAAACTTTCCAATCTTTCATCTGACAATATGTTCTGCTCCACTATCTGGTGAATGAAATTCTGAGATGCCTCAATATATTTTAAAGATTTGATTGATTTGATATGTGGAGTTTAACGTCCCAAAACCACCATATGATTATGAGAGACGCCGTAGTGGAGGGCTCCGGAAATTTCGACCACCTGGGGTTCTTTAACGTGCACCCAAATCTGAGCACACGGGCCTACAACATTTCCGCCTCCATCGAAAATGCAGCCGCCGCAGCCGGGATATGATATTTTTAAAGAGCCCCATCGGTACTGCTACGATGTCTTACCCTTCTTTTTCAGCTGTTAAGGCCAAACCTCGTAAGCGCGAAAATGCACGCGACAGCGACGAGCGACGCGACGTAGATCGGCTTCGCGCAATCAGTCGCTAGCGCAGGCAAACCTCATTCACGCGACGGCTTCGGCGAGCGAATTCCACTGTTGCTGGCATGAGGCCGTCTACTCGCACCGAGAAAACCGCGTAGCGAGCGGTATGCAATTTAAAAATAAGATATATTGTTGTGTAATGAAACGGAAAGTGTTTATTATTGCCTTGCAGCACTTTTTTATATGCACATGCGTAATAAACATTGCCTTATTTCTTGTTGCGCATACGTGACTCGGGCAGGGCCACGTGCACCTATGTAGTCTTTGTCTTTTCCGGTTTTTCACTATTGGCTGCTTGAGCCCAGCACTTCCGGACGATGAGCGACGGTTTCCAAATCTGGAGAACCGAGCGATCGCGCGAAAACGAGCACGCGACACGTCGCGTGAACGCCCTGTTTCGTCGCTCGTCGCTGTCGCGTGCATTTTCGCGCTTATGAGGTTTGGCCCTAATTGTACCTCGTTCGCGAATAATTCAGTTTTTTTTTTTTTTTGCTAGTACCACTCCATTGCGGATGAAGTTTCATGGAACACGGTCGAAATCCCGCCACGCCCAATGAGAGGCGCTTTAGGCTAAAGTGTATTTCCTTGACTTTTCGGAGCAGCTTGTTTCCTTCTTTTTTTTCTACATAAAGAGAGGCATTAAGAGACGCTCTTAATTTGAGCATTAAGAGCGTAGTGCTCATGCAGATACAAGAAACTCAAAATCACCAAAATGCAGAGTCGGTGCTACATTAACTACCTTTCAAAAACGAAGCACTCACAAACGAGGCACACCCACGTACTGGCTTTTGTAAGTGCGCATGGAAAAGATGCACACACGGTAGTGATGTTACAAGCCCGTCGTCTCGTTATTTACCTTGTCTCATCGAAGCAGCCTGCTTCAACATGTGCACTGAACATAAGTCGTCATTCTTTTTTGGCGCTTAACCTTCTCGCCTCGGAGCGCACGCTTACGCAACGTTTCTAGAACGTTGCTCTCATGTACCGCGCAGTACGACGTCTTTGGAATCCTGAAACGTACAAAAGTTATTCAAAATGTCTCCGTGCACCCGGACGCAAAAATAAAATCTATTTACTCGCGAATGCAGTCGTAGTCGCGAAAATATGCGAGAAAAAGCGAGAGAGCGAAGCATGCCTACTTACACATTGTAAGTTGTGCCCGGTGTCCATTTTACACGATTCGCGCAGCCAAACGCTGCCAAAGAGCGCACCATCGTCGTCTCGAAAGCGATCACAGATGCATCCAGACCGTCTTGTTCGGTTATAGGCGCCACACCCAACTTTACTAGCACAAAAACAATGCGAAAGCCACGTACGATAGAATGCGCCCATCCGCGTTCTGCCCTGAGCATTATGGCGGCATCGGCGGCAACATTTCTAGAACTAGCGTTCTAGAATTAAAAATTGGAATTAAAAACAACACATAGTGTAAGTTAATAAGGCACAATACCTAACAGCATCGCTACTAGAGTAAAAAGAAAGAAACGAAATTTCTTGTGATACAGTGTTAGCTGTGTGACCAAACGGGGCGCCCTGAAAGAGCATATATTCAATATGTATGCTGAAAAACAAAACCTTTACGGAACATTTGCCAATTCTCTTACATATTCGTACTGTTCTTTTAGGCATCACTGGTGAAAGTTGTAAATTTCAGGTAAATGAAAACACAAAAAGTAGCTTTTTTTTTTTTAGTTGTTGTTTCGGTTTCAGCGTTGCCGGCGCCGATCATTTTGCGCGGCTGCGCCGATGCCGCCGCCGGTCAAAACCGCCTTGGCGCACAATGACCTCCGAAATTAAAAACAAGCGGCGTTGTACGTTTATTATCTTGAAGGCTATAATTCGGCGAAGAGTAGAACTTGATACTTTCCTTGGCCTGGCGTCCTTTGGTCAAATTCCACCATAACGGTGCTGCACATGACAAAGTGAGTTTTTGTAAAAACAGTGCAATCACTTCTTCGCAATAATATTATGCCATAAAACTGCTGCAAATAATTAAAACACTTTTGTATAGTTTTTGTGCAGTAAAGCGTAAAAAAATGACGTCTTAGCTGCTTGATTGAAGTGCTGGTGAAAACTGGTAAAGTATTGTTTGGCGTGTGACATAAAGTTTTAGAGAATAATTATTGTATAAAAATTTATGACATATGGCGTTGGAGCCTCTTCCTAATCTGGCAACGCTGGTTGCGTCTGTTTGCTGTTTAAATTTTACTCATTCTGGGTGCTGGAGTCAGTGGAGTTTCCTTTGGTTCCTTCTTTCAACTATATGTGGACGCACGATACATTTAGTGTCGTTAATCTACGTGGTGGATGTGAGCGTAATCTTGCTTAGAATATGCAAGGTAGCGTCGTGCTCTTTTTAACGCTTTTTTTGTTATTGCTTTAGGATCTTACCTCCTTCATGTGCTTGGCGCATAGGTATTCATATGTGGTTGCGCTGATGCGCGCCAGTGCTTAATTTAACGAATTGTGTGGTGCATAATGGAGCATTCAGTTTCCTTATTTTGGTAAGCTGTTACTTCTGCTCCGCATAACCTTTCGCGACGGGTCAAGCTTTCGCTTGCCCGCGTCAGCTATGTTGTTTATGCGCTTATTTTGGTCATGCCGGACCTTCATAATATCAATACTGATGCTAGACGCGTGTGATGGCGCCGTATATCATACGTGAGCTGTGTGCTGCGAAGATCCCGAGAACTGCCTAATCCATTCTGAATACTCGTTTTGAGTAATGTCGCCTTCTCTTTTAAACTTGTTGTAATTTTGCATGATCATTTTTATACTTTGAGTGTGTGTGCACGAGTCATTTTTTCGAGGAATTGAAAATATTAAGTCGTTGAATTGAAAGCCGTCTGTGAAATCTTGTGTGAACGCAGTTCCATTTCACGACAAAAAGTTCTCACTTTATTTACTTTTGGTGCTTCCGCACAATGTTCATACTCGAGCTGGCTTCTTTTGCCGTTATTGACCAGTCGATTTCACACGCACGAAGGGTTTGGAGCCGCTAAGTTTTGTCTGTTTTCAGGATTGCCTGAACTGTAGCAGGATATCCTGTGCAGTGTTCAGAGTTCTAATAATGGCTGATAAAGAAGATCAACAAGCACCAAAACAAAACGTAGGTGGAGGTCCTGACTGTCTTCAACTGGGAAACGAGAGCCCCCCGCCAGAGGATGTGACCGGTGAAAAGACGTGCGACTCCCAAGACGGGCCAAAGCAATGGGACTACTTCCCATGGGATAGATGGTCACGTGAGAGGAGCACAGACTCTAGGGAAAGGAGTGTGGACTCGCGTGACTCGGCAACAAGGGAGAGGGATCTACGGTAATGCTTCTTCAGCCACTCTGCACTAACACCAGTTTGGTTTTAAATACTATTTTAATTGCATATATATGCACACATATTATCTTACATTAATGCCTATGGTTATAGAAAAACTGTAAGCATTACTGAATTGTGAGAAATTAGGGGAAAAAAGTGGCGGCCCAATTCAACTTGGAATCGCAGTGGCAGGAGGCAAAGCCTAATGAGTGAAACAAAATTGTGCTTTTGCCAAACTACTGAGATATGGGGGCCCTCTTTTAGCTGCACAATGAAAGTGAACACTCAACACTTGTCTTTCTGATGCACGAACTCGGTCACCGTTGTGCTATAGGAGGGGATGTATGCATGCACACCTCATTTTCTTTGCATTTCCAGTGGCTGATGTCACCTACTCTCATCATTGTGCGATTCAGTGATCATGGCAAGAGCTATGCAATGTGAAAAGCCAATAGGGTGCACAGTATAGGTCTCATGCATTCGCGAACTAAAATGGGTGCTAAAGCTGGCATCCCATGGTATCTCCAAGGGCAAGCCACAATGAAAAGGTGGTAACATAAATAGTAACAATGAGCCATCCTAATTACACAGTTTTTTTTTTCTAACTGGCAGGCCCCGTCATTTTTCAACCGCAATATCATTGATGTATCACAAACCAGAGTTACGCATTACAAATATTTAGGAGTTACTTTTAAAACCCACCTTGACTTTGCCCAAGTATATAAATTGTCTCTTGTAAAGCTAAAAAAAAAAAAAAGACTTGGTTATCTCCATCATACCTTGTACATTGCCACAAGGTACACTGATCTAGTGGAGTACAAAATATTGTTTCATCCAACTTAAGAAGGACATTGTGCATAATTTCAGAAGTTCAGAAGAAAGCTGCTTGTTTTATTTACAGTCTTTCTCGTTTGAGATTAAAGGCCAAGTGCAACTAAATTTGGCACTCCACAAAAAGTTAATATATAGGTAGACTAGCTAGAGGTAGTGCTGCCTGCCAAATGTCACCTTCAAAATACAAGCCCTTACCTTAGAGAAAAAAAAACTTGAAAATGACGGCGTTTTTGAGACCAAAACTAGAAGAAACGACGCCATTACGGCTGACTAGAAGTGACGTAAACGACAGAAAAATCTTCTGCTCCGCGCTCCTCGAGCACGCACATCGCGGACGCGCCACGTATCCCTGGTTCACACTGCAGCGTCCGCTTTCTACAGCAAGCGAAATTCTCCTGCCGCCGAAATGCAGCGTCGTTCGCACAGGACGTGCCCTGTGCCGCCGATTATGCCATCTACCACGGGGTGAACGCGGGATGGATGCGCTGTTACCCGGTTGTTGACGCATCTCGCAAACGCCACAACGCTATCTGGTGATGTAGACTTCGATGATTCTCCTACGCAGGAAGCAAGAAGTAGTAGTACTGCTTACGTTACTGGCAAGTCGCTGTCTTGTAATGCAAGAAGAGCAGAAAAAACCACCGACACCAGTGGTGTTGGTGGGTTCGTCTTGCTCTGCAAGGTGGCAACAAGCTCGGTCATGCCAAGAACAAGCTCGATCACCTCTTCCACAAAATAGGGATGTGAAGTAGGCACAGAGTGGGTTAAACATTCCTTGGTTACAACTTTCAGTGACGTGCACTGCGACATGACAAGTGAGGTGGGCTTGGCCGCCATTTTTCAAAATTTCTTCATTAGCGCAGTCTATGGCGACGCATAGCATTGGGATCGTACTGCAAATCTTTTCAAGTCGGCCGCTCGCGAACGAGCGTCATGCAGGAAAGAGCGATTTAGTGGTAGGGAGGATTGATTACAAGGTGCGACGCGGCGACGCTCTGTAGTATTCGTCATATCCGGTTCTGTTCGATATGCCTGGGCACACCACTAAAGCTCCGTGTCGTTTGCTTGCTGGCAATTAGAGCACCAATTATAAATTAAATATGCAACTGCAAGATTTTTCACTGTCGTTATCGTAACTTACCGTATCTATACTACATACTTATGGCCGTTTTCGTGTAAGTAATCCAGCTTTTTTCAAGATACCACCACATTGAATATTTCAAGATTCTTTTTTGAAAGCTCCTTTTGTCACCGCTCAGGTTCCTCTCATTTGATGTCTGCTCACCAGACACCAATTTCAGGCTACCTTTCCTTAAACCTTAAAAACATCAGAGTATTCTATCCACACACTAAAGATTCCAAAAACAGTGTTTCCCCTGCATGACTCAGTATTGGAATTCATTGCATGGTGAAGTCTGATCATTAACTCTCTCTTTTAGTATATGCTATAGTGGTGAACATATATATATATATATATATATATATATATATATAGGTTCTTTTGTATTAATCTCTTTGCACATGCATGTCATTATTTGTACACCCACTCTTGTTATAACGGTGTCTGTCATAGTGTGGGTTGTTTTAGGACATTAAATCCCATAAATCAAATCAATTCTGCCATATGTCGAATTGGTCGCAATATGTACAAATAGATAAATATTTACATATTTTAAAATATGTGTTCTAGCTTACTTTTACTACTTACTGGCTGCATTTGAATACATTTTCTACGAGTCTTCCAAATATTGCTGTAGCCACACTTATAAATAACCATCTGCCTTATCACTATAAGTAACGAAAAGTCTTTTTCTTCAATAAAGTTTTCATTTCGGTATGTTATGTTGGTACACACTTCATTAAGAAATTTGTTTATGACACTTCTGTTTCTAATGCCTACAATAACCTAATTTTACTGTATTTTGCTATTAGTTAATTTGATGTCAGCGACTCGAAAGGAATCTGTTTATACCATAGAAGATGCAGTAGTGATCCAGCTGCGCCATTTGCGCCAATTTGCTACAATTATACCTTCCTGCGCCTTACTGCGCAAGTGTTGTTTTGTTTGCGCCAAATGCGCCAAGTTGCACGAAAGAACCCGACTTTAGCGGATGTTCATTTTGCAGTTGGCAACAAGTGAATTTTTTTCTAGGTTGGCAACTGTTTACCATGTGCTTTGCAGCTTTGGTAGCGCTGCTGGCATTTATTACCGGCCGCACTTTGCTATTGAATCAGTACAGAAGTTGCACCTTGCCTATAGTTCTTCCGATTTCTCGCTACTGATGGTTTTTGTGTTCGGAGTGTCCGAGCGCTGTACGTAGGCTTAGGAATGTGCGCCGTGCCTTGTTTCGTAGTGCGGAATATCCGCATTTGAAACGCGCAATCGCTCGTACGGCATGCAGCAGTTACACCTCCTACATGCTACCGTTCGGAACATATTGTTACACGCAAGAAGTACACGAAAAGGTTGAAAAACAGGCGAGCCTGGATGGTTCGCGTTTACTTCCACAAGGGGTCTCGAGACAGCACACCCAACGTCGTCTTCCTTCTTCACCTTTTGTCTGAATGTTCATTCGCGCTGTATGCGCCGTGCATTGCAACCGCTCGTGACATTTCCCCGTTGGCAGACGAAGCCCGCCGGGCGAGTCACTCAGTGGTTCGTGCATTGCATAGCTTCATGCGAGCGACGTGCGCCACTTCTGTTTTAGCCGAGCGCCGTCCAGTGCTTGTGAGCCGTGCTATGCGGTAGTTGACCTCACTGAGGCGTTCGAGGATAACGTAGGGCCCGACATAGTGAGCGAGAAATTTCTGGTACAGGCCACGTTTCCGTAAAGGCGTCCAGAGCCACACCTGATCTCCAGGATTGAAGTGAACATGTCGGTGACGGTCGTCATAGCGGATCTTTGACCGGTCTTGCGAGGTGACGGTGCGTAGCCGAGCGAGGCGTCGCGCTTCTTCTGCTCTACAGAGAATCTCGTTGATCGGCTCACTGTGATGAGCAGAGTAGGGAAGCATAGTGTCAAGATTATAGCGTGGTGGACGAGCATAAAGGAGAAAGAAAGGTGAGTAACCAGTGGTCTCATGTCTTGCGGTGTTGAAAGCATAGGTGATGAAAGGCAAAATTGTGTCCCAGTTTTTGTGCGCGGAGTCGATGTACATGGACAGCATGTTGGCAAGCGTTCGGTTCGTGCGTTCCACTAGACCATTAGTCTGTGGATGGTATGGAGTGGAATGGCGGAAGCTTGATGAGCACAGACGAAGGGTCTCTTCGACAACATCCGCGGTAAATTGCCGCCCACGGTCGCTGATTACGATGCGAGGAGGTCCGTGTCTGAGGATAACTTGAAACAGCAAGAAGATGGAAACGTCTTTTGCTGTGGCCGACGGCAGTGCTGCCGTCTCACAATAACGGGTTAAGTGGTCTACGCAAACGATGACCCAACGATTGCCGTCTGTGGATCGCGGAAAAGGGCCCAGAAGATCTATACCAACTTGCTCAAAGGGGGTGCTAGGAGGCGAAACAGGCTGAAGGCGACCAGACGGCGCGTCAGTTGGTCGCTTGTAACGCTGACATTGGGTGCAGCTGGCGACGTACCGTTCGGTATCATTGCGCATCCGGGGCCAATAAAAGCGTTCCTGAGCACGGTAGAGTGTTCTTGTGCATCCAAGATGTCCGGAAGTTGGTTCGTCGTGCATGGCAGATAATACGTGACTGCGAAGGCTCTTGGGGACAACCAAAAGGTAGCGCGCACCGGTAGCCGAGAAGTTCGTCTTATATAGGGCGCCGTCACGTAAGCGAAAACGATTGTCTGCAGCGGACTCCCGCGCGGCCGCGAATAGCGGCTGTAAGCTGTCGTCTTTCCTCTGCTCTGATATGAAGGTATCCATATCCGGAAACCCCGTGGACACAAAAGCGATGTATTCATCAAAGTTGTCCGCGTCACATTCAGTCGTTGGGAGTGGCAGGCGAGAGAGACAATCACCTCCACCAAATGTTACACGCAAGAAGTACACGAAAAGGTTGAAAAACAGGCGAGCCTGGATGGTTCGCGTTTACTTCCACAAGGGGTCTCGAGACAGCACACCCAACGTCGTCTTCCTTCTTCACCTTTTGTCTGAATGTTCATTCGCGCTGTATGCGCCGTGCATTGCAACCGCTCGTGACAATATAATAGTGCGAAACGAACGAGCGAGTGACGCGGAATACACAAAGAATTTCTGCAGGCGGGTCGCTTTTGTTGACGTTAGCAGATCGCTAGATGGGCCGTATGTGCTGCCGGCGCGTCACGGATCGGGCGCCCCACCGTGCGAGCTGCTTGTAGAATAGTCGGAAAAGAGTGATTGAGCGTCGACCATGTCAACACAAGCAAGTCAATAAGCACCGTAATGTTACCGCATTAGCAGCCGCCGATCGTTGGGAATCCGCTATTCGTGACGTGCCGTTCCCAATCAGCTTTTTTAAATATTTAATTTAAGGAAAACATTGCTGTCGATTTCTGCTCTGGTCATCGCGCGCCGCGCCGGAAGGAAGCAAACCTCCAACATACATTAGCGCCTTATGCCGCCTTGCCAGCTGGGGCAATGCGTTTGTCTGCGGCCGTCAGACCCACGCGTCATCCGCATGGCAACTTCCTGTAAGTTGGTCGCGAGTTTTAGGTGTGAATGGTCGACAGACAACTGGCATCCCGATTCGCGCCATTTGTCGAGGCTGTACCCAAAATGCTTGCGCAAATATTTGGTGTTGGCGCCTTAGAGTTGGCATTTAGATCTTCCAATGAAGTAAGGTTGGCATTATGTTACGGGCTACCCTAAAAATAAATGTAGTAGTTACGTGCTCTTTTTACTAGCGTGCCTTTGTCGTGGGAAAATTTACAAGAGCGGAACCTTGGGCTAGTTGGTGCGTAGTCACATTTGCAAGTTTTTTATACTGACGCATTGACTAGGCTTGTATTTTGTCATGTTTTTAATCATCCTTTTTTTGGGCATATATATTCTTGCCACTCTGTGATATAAAGTTAGAAGTCAGTGCTCTTTCTGTCTACCCTGTTGCTTTTACCTATATTCACGCTCTGAAAAAAAACTTGGCAAAGTTTACTGTCATAAAGTTCGTTTCGCTCATGTTTTCAGATCGCAACACCAAGTTCAACGCCTCTGTACTCAACGAGGTGGACTCCAATAATGATCCGATCAGTCGGTGGTGCAAGAGTGGAACCCGAAATACAGATGCATTTTGTATTCTTTGCAACTGCACCATTTCTTGCGCACAGCATGGAGCGGCAGCAGTGAAGCGTCATGCTGGGATGAAGAAACATATTGATGCAGCTGCTAGACACAGAGACAAGGACGGGAATCTTCTTCCACCCAAATTGGTGCAAGGCACACTGGACTTCTCCAACGGGTCTGCTAATACATCACTTGAGCACCAAGTCAGCAAGGCAGAAACTACTTTTGCTTTGTCTGTTGTGGCCAAGGGAATTCCTTTTTCATGGGGAGACACGGCAACTTCGATTTATCACTGCATGTTCCCCGACAGTGACATTGCCAAAAAGTTTAGTTGCGGCAGAATAAAGTTGGCCCGCATTGTATCAGATGGACTGGGTCCCTACTTTAAAGGACAAGTGGTGACTGAGCTGTGCCAGCCAAATGTCTATTTTTCCATTATGATTGATGAGACGCCAAAGCCAGAGCTAAGGGTGCAGCAACTAGATGTGCTGGTACGCTATTTTTCCAGCAGCCAACAGGAAGTTGTTGTTGAACATGTCCAGTCATTTGATCTTGGGCGTGCAACCGCTGAAATAATTGTTGGCTGCATAGAAGAAGCAATAGCAGATCTTCCAAAGCAAGGACTTGTTTGCTTTTTCAGTGATGGCCCTAATGTTATGAAGAGCGTAAGAAACAAGCTTCAGAAGCATGTGGCACCAAGTTTGATTGATATTGGCAACTGCAATCTTCATAAGGTTCACAATGCATTTGGCAGAGGCCTGGATGCATTTGGCTTAGATGTAGAAGAAGTAGTGAGAAATATTTACTACTACTTCAAAGGTGCTGTCCGTGCTGAAGCACTCAGAGAATGCCAGGATACTTTGGGAATCTCTTGTCATGTATTTCTGCGCCACGTTTCTAATCGCTGGCTGACGCTACAAGACTCACTTTGCCGAGTTGAGGAATAGTTTGAAGCGCTTCGCACCTATTTTTTTAAGGGCAATTCATCTCGTCAACGACCTGACACCCAAAGCCTACACAACAAGCTTGTGTCGGCATTTTCTGAGAAACAACTTTTGGCCAAAGTGTTGTTCCTTAAGAACTGTGCGCAGCTTTTCAGTGGATTTCAGCTGCTCTTCCAAAAGCAAGAGCCGCTCTTGCACATACTTCACGTTGAACTTATTGTTCTAGTCCAACGAGTCCTCAGTCGGTTTCTTCGTCATGAAGCCTTTGCAGACAAGACCGCTGAACAACTGAAAAGGCTAGATGTGATGGATGCATCCCTTTGGAAATCAAGGCCGGAAGTTGGTACAGATACTGAAAAATCAATGCTTGAGTGGGACTCTAGTGAGAAGAAGCGGTTTTATCTTGGAGCACGTGCTTTTTACTTGGCCTGTGCCAAGGATCTTCTTCAGAAGCTTCCACTCGACAATAGAGTTCTTCAATCTGCTAGCCTCCTCAATTGGCAGTCAACAAATGTTGAATCGGAAGTGCGAGCACTGAAGTACCTTGTGTCTCAGCTTCCACAGGTAATCAAACATGAAGAAGTTTCCTCAGCCATCGATGAGTGGCATATGTTAAAGTGTGACTCAAACAGTGACCTCCTGGCACTTGGAGGTGAAAGAATTGATGTTCGTTGGGGCAAAATATTTGAACTGAAGTCTCCTGGAGGTCAACCAAAGTATCCATTATTGTCGAGGCTTGTCAAGTGTCTGCTGTGCCTGCCACATGGCAACGCAGACTGCGAACGAGGATTTAGCGAAAATAAGCGCTTTTATGAGAACCGCTACTCATTATGCATTGCAAGCATTAACGGGTTGCGCCAGACAAAGACATACCTCCGCAGGTATGATGGAGATGCCACTAAAGTTCCCTTGTCTACAGAGCTTCTGCAAAGTGTAAGGAGATCTAGAGCCCGATACACAGAGAGAACTGCAAGTGCACAGCAGTCAGAAAGCAGGAAAAGGCTTGGAGACCAAGACACTGGTGCTGATGTCGACGAAAAGCGACTTCGTAAGAACTTGGAAGAAAAGGTCACCTCAAGTAGGGCATTGCTGAAACGAGCAGAAGACATAATTTCTTCTGGTCTGCGTTCTAAGAGCCTGGAACAAGTTGAAGCTGGGCAAACTTTATTAGCTGAAGGCAACTCCGCTTTGAGCCAAACCCTCTCACAGCTGGAAGAACTAAGCAAGAAGGTGAGCAAGAGGACGTAAATGCTGCAACATGCACATCTTTCTTCTGTAAATAAATGAAAGTTCAAAACTCTCCTTACAGTTCGGTTTCTGGGAATTTTCGTCGTAGCTTTTAGTGTACTTTAATAAACTAATGCTACACCTGCACTACCTTCATTTTCAGTAGTGCATTAAATCTGATGGACTGGTCCATTTCTTGGTGGCTTTTAAAATCGGCATGCACGTGACACTCTAATTAATAATTGAGAATTGAGACAAATACGGTTTTATAGAACTGTGGTTGCTATCACAGCTTTAGTTTCAGCAATAATGAGAGATGTATTTTTGTAAAATAAGTTGCTGCTACAATTGCTGCTCCAAAATCGAGTGCCGATACAAAGGTGCTCCAAAAGAGCATTTTCTCTGCTCCAAAAATTGCTCCAAAAGTTGAAGTGGCTGGATCACCACTGAAGATGTGAAACTATAGAATCTGGATTATTATCTAATTACCTCGGTGCTTTCGTATTGCTACTCTTATGGTTTTTTCTTTTTTGCCACTTGGCCAGTGCATTAGTCACAGCTTCAGTGCACAACTTGAATATAATTATAAGCATCTTTGACGTCACTCCTAATAAGTATGCATCTTGCAAGGAAAATTTAAAAAAGATAAATTTGGGCATACTGACTTTTCATTAATTTAACTGAAGTAATCAAAAGTTATTCTAGAAACCTCTACTTTCGCATTCCACACAGCCCTTGGTGTCACTCCTTGGCACGTGTCATGAGCATTGATGCGTTGTGACTACTGTATGGAATACTGTATAATTATGGGCCTGTACAGATATGCAGAGGAACGGAAACGGGACCGTGAACGTGGCCGCCGGGAGGAGGTCATCCTTTACCGTCACAGAGACTCTGAAACCACCCAGAGTGACAGTACCGAAGAGGAGGATGCAGAAAGCTCAAATGGAAGCAAAGCGAAGGCTTCCACATAGACTACTGTGAATGAAAGTGCAGAAAACAAAAGAACATTTTCAAGAGAAGCCGTTCCTGTACCACTAGGCCACAATGAGCGGACTGAGCACGCCCTGGCAAAGCACACCCATCAGAAGGCAGCCAAAACTTCCAAGAGTCCACCAACCAGTAAGGAAGCCTCAAAGCGCATGGAGCTTGCCAAAGGTGAAGCCTTTGGCTGTATTTCAAATAATGGGGAGAGAGAGAACAACAATAGAACCCGTCTTGCACCTTAGTACTTGCATGTCCTAGCTCCGCTCACTGTAGGGTCACCACCTTAAAAAAAAAATTTCACAGCCGTTCGCGATGCGCCTATGGCGGCTGCCAATACCAGGCAACAGGAAGCCTCGAGCTCACTCGTTCCCGCCGCCGTCCCGTCTGCGGGAGCCGCGGGGGACCTTCTCCGTCGGCGACGCCGCCGCTGGGAGGCGGCGCTCAGAAGCTCGGAGCTCAACGACCAGCTCTGGGCTGTCCGGCAGGCCGAAGATGCCGCCCGAGTTCAGGGACTCAGCGCCGCCATCTGAGGCCACCAAGACCAAGCTGCCGGCCAAGTTCTAATAAAGTTTCCTTTCTCTCTCTCTCACAGCAGTTTCGTCCAGAAGTAATAATTATGGTATTGGCTTGTAAGGCTTAGGCGAATTTACGGTTCGGAATGATGAAGCTGCTGAAATATAAAAAATAAAATTAAAATTTGTAGAAATCAAAAAGTGCCAAAGTATGCGTTTTGCGCCAACTGTCACAACTACAAAATGCTTGGTGTGATTCAAACGCAACTTAGCAGGTACATCTATGATCATCACATCTTTAAGTTATGGCACTTTATCGCAAATGGCTTAGTGAGTGAAACAATTTTATTGTCGATCCGGCATGAAGGGGTAAGAGGTAGGCGAATTAAGCAATACTCTATCGTCCTGGGACGTCCCGGAGCAGCTACCTACTCGCATCAAACCCGTAGGGGCACTGCTTTTGGCTGTCTCGCATCAAACCCATAGGGGCACTGCTTTTGGCTGTTGGTTTTCCAGGATGCCAAGCACATGTTGGACCACGTCTCTGATTGCCTGGCTATTGGCTCATGATTTTGCTGCTGATGGTCAAACTGAAAAAATTGACTGAAAAATTTTATATTTGACAGGTTTGTGTTGCATACAATTAGCCATGGTATGAAAAGTTACTGCTCGTTTTGTATAATTGTGCTTGAATGCACAGCTCTACCTCTAAAGAAATACACCCAAACCTCGATATAAGGAATCTGGATATAATGAAATATCGATTATAACAAAGTTAATGAAAACTAGTGTTGCAATATAACGAACATATTTTCATGTAAGATTCAGTTTTGTTATAATGAGGTTTGAGTGTAGTAAGAAAAATCGTTGCATAAGTGTAGGATCCCAAAAATAATGTTCTGAGAAAAATGGCTTTAAAAATTAGAATCAAGTGTTCATATAGTAAAAACGTCAATATATGCAAAATTCACCAGTATCATAGCTTGGGAAATATTTTGAAGTGGCACAGTCTCCTTTTGATTGATCTGAAGCAAATATTTTTTTTCTAGCTTGTTTTGCATCTCCAGCTGACTCTCATTTACGTGCGTGCGTCAAAGCAGGTCCACGCTTGATATATTCACTTTTTAACTCGCATTGATGCTTGTTTTTTGTTCTATACTTTGCCATCTGTGACAGAGTACTAGAACTCTATTTTTTAAGGCCAGAACAAAGTTCAAAAGGTGTAGGTAGTGTACTCAAAAGCATAGAGAGCCGAGCAAGAATGCGCGCAACTCAAACAATGGTGCCGTAGATGTGTAGTAGACATTTTAAAATAAACCAACATTATTTCCCACAATCTTTAGAATCTATGTTGACAACTTAGCATTACAGAATATGTCTGTAGCGAGAGGCAGAAAGACTTGTGGAATCTTGCCACTTTATTGTCCTGGATGAAAGTAGAGCGGCCATGGCTGCCTGTGTCCTAGCTGCCAGGCGCCGCCGCCCTGCTTTGGCTCTGGAAAATAAAGTGGCGAGGTCCTTCACATCTCTCTGCCTCTCGCTACATGTCTAACAAAAAACATTGATGACGATATGGCAGATGTTGTGAAATTAGAAACCTTCACTTTCGGTTTCGAGTGCATCCAAGGAGGGTTCAAAGAATGGTCACAACTTTCGAACGGCTTGAGGTAAATTCATGATTCTTGGTCCTAAATATTCTTGAATAGACAAGGGTTATGTATTTTCATGGAATAGACAAGTAATGTTATGCATAGAATAGACAAGGGTTATAAAAATGCCGAATCCAAAAATTTATTGTGTCATGAAAACGGGTTTTTCAAGGTGGTGACCTACCTTAAAAGTGGTAGTAATTAAAGTTTTATTTTTGTAAAGGTCAGGGCAGGATATACACATTTGGGGCCAGGCTATGCTTCTTTAGCCATCTGTGTTAGCATTGAAAAGGGTATCTTCGTATTATATAGATAGTAGTACGAAAAAAAAAAAAGCGTAAATGTAGTTAGTCATGAGTGCTGTTTTAAGGTGCTCTATTTTTATTGGCACATCACTTGCAGCAACACAAAGAAAATACTGATCTACCGCTCACAGCTTGTTCTTTAAGGAGTTTCGAAGCTAGATATTCATGCCAGAATTGGGCTGCGCTTATAAAAAGAAATTCTTCTGCTGTTCCCTTCACCATTTCTTCAGGTGCAAGTTTTAGGCTTTACAGAGCTATAGATAATTAAGAACATTGCAACTAGGTGGATTGAATATAACAGTGAATGCAGGTATAAATTCTTCTTGTGTCTGAACTACTTGCTTACTTTAAGTGCGAATTTCAGTTAAAAGTTGGTGATTGGTTATAAGCTTTATAATAAGCCGTGGTGGGATGAAATACTTTACTGCTTGGCCAAAAATAATAAATTTGTAGCTAGATATTTCCATGAGACACCTTACTAGCACTTAATTGCAGAGTGCAGTTAGGGGTGGAGTGAATTGGTTTGTTCTTATTTGTTTGTTTATTTAAAGGAGCACTGACATCAAATTTACTCGTGTCAAGGTTTTTGCATCGAATAGCTATCGACCCCTTAGTAGCGATTCTTGAACTAAAACGCAACTGAGGGACTAATAACTATCACTTTTATTGATTTATATCACTGAGATGTAGCACAATTCAAAACGTCAGGCAGGCCCGCCATTTTTAGCGCTGGGAGTGCTTCCTCGCAGTCACGTCAAGATCGCACCACAGCAGACCACTCCTCCACAGAAAAGAGCGACATTGGGCTCAGCTGCTCCTCAAAAATTTCGTCTACTAGAACTACACATTCAGTCATGCCTTAAGACCTGTATTGCCCTCATTGTCATACATAGCGTCGACTAGGGTTGGCATGACGATTTGTGACGTCGCGAATGATTTTCGCTTCGATCGACCCTTGCAGAACAGCGATACCAAAGTGGACGCTGTTCCAAGAAGCAGTGAGAAGGTGCCCAAGGATGCATGCTTTGGCCATGCTCGCTCGTGTGTCTCAGTTAGCTATATTGGGGAGTTTTGGGCATGCACAGCATTCAGGTATGCGCAAAGGGGTAAAAGGAATATCTGTATAGGGGCTGCACACCAGTACGTTCTCTGCTTGCCATCAGATTTGAATTCACGTTAAAGAACCCCAGGTGGTCAAAATTTCCGGAGCCCTCCACTACGGCGTCTCTCATAATCATATGGTGGTTTCGGGATGTTAAACCCAACATATCAATCAATCAATCTCTGCTTGCCAGGTTCTTCTTTGCACCTCCACATGGCCGCATCTAGCCGGCCCTTCAAGGTTGCAGCGGCAGTAACCCAGCATCACGCGGACGAAAGGAAATCTACTGACAAACTAAAATTACAAATTTGGTTCTGCAGTGCGATTGATGGTACTTCTTGCTCATTAAAGCATTATAATTGTTAGTTGATAAATTTAATTGGTACCTTAATGAATTCTTATGGAGTAAAGAACGGCCATCACGGAGTGAGTGAGCAACAACTTTATTCATCAGGGGTGTAGGCGTAAGGGGAGGTTCAGCAGGCTATGTATGCTGCCAGGCCGTGCTTCTCGATGGTATCCTCAGCTCTTGCCAGGACCTGTGCTTGGACGTCTTGGTCTGTGCTGAAAAGAAGTGCCTCCTATTGCTCCTTGAAGAGGGCTGGTGAAATCTGGTCGGTGGGGAGCAGGTCCTCCGAGCAAGTCAAGAGGATGTGGGTGAGCGATGCAACACCTCCACATAGACAACAGCGTGAATCAATAACGCCCAGGTTGATATAGGAGTACGCAAGGGGGCACGGAAAGGTGTGGGTCTGCAGTCGGCGCCAGGCGATCTGGCACCTCTTGGGAAGGCTATCATGAGGGGATGGGTAGGTGTACCATTCAAGGCGATAGTGTTAGGCGATGTCATGGTAGGTGACCAGGCGTTCGGGCACCAGGACGTCTGACTCTGAAGAGCCCATCACTCGGTTGACAAATCCTCGAGCATGTTGGTGAGCCGACTTGTTGCCGCACCCGAGTGGGTGAGGACCCAGGCCATTTTAATGTGGCGTAGTTCGTCTCGCAGAAAGAGCGGGTGAAGGAACTGCAGTGTGATAGGCGTAACAAGGCCTCGGGCGAAGTTTGAGATGACGGGCTTAGAATCACAAAGTACTACACTGGCTTTGGTGGAGATGGCAGCCAAGGCAAAGGCCGCCTCCTCTGCCTTGACAGCGTAGGTTGTGCGCACGGTGGTGGCTATGGCCGTTGTCTTCCCGTGCGGCGGTGAGGAGGGCGATACGCAGACGATGGCAAAGGTGCCGTGATGCGAGGCGTAATGAGCTGCATCCACGCAGACGGCTAGGTGGTTGTCGTTTTCTTTACGAAGCATGGCCACTTTGGCTTGGCGGCGGGTGTCATGGTGGCCTGCGAACATGTTCTTGGGTAGTGGCTTGATGCAGAAAACTGCCCAAATTGCGTGCGTTAGTGGGACCAGGTCTGGTGGATGAGCAGAGGTGTCGTTGCTGATGGTAGAAGGGAACCAACGACCAGTCAGTGAACTACAGAGTAGCTGCACTTGAGCAGTACGTTGGGCTTCAATCAACTCGTCGATGGTGTTGAGTACCCCTAGGCGGAGAAGGTGTTTTGTTGATATGTTCTCTTGATAAGACGAAGGGCAGTCTTGTAGGCTCGGCGGATGAGCACGTGAATATTGTCGTCTTGTCGCGTTCGGATTTGAGGAGGTGAGTGTAAGGCAGGCCATAGGTGAGATAAATAGTGACAAAAGCGTCAGTTAGGCGGAGTAGATCGCGTTCGCACATAGCCTCACGCTGCACTCAAGCACGAGCTAGCATGCGTGAGCTGGTCAATAGCGTGAGTGAGTGTTGCGACCGTTGGACTGCAAGACCAACCCCAGCACATGGAGATGCGGGACAACGGGCGCGGGGAAAAAGTTGGCATAAATCACGATGGTGGTGTGGGGTGGGGTGTCTTGTGGCAATGGTGGCCGGTGGACCATATGACAAGAGCTGATTTGGCTGCCGAGCAGGTAGACCAGCCTTGTGCACATGGCTCATCACAACATCGGTGGCGCATTGCAAGATTTGCTCAATCTGGAACCAGAAGTGACCCGAAAAGTCATGCCATCCGCATACAGGGTGTGTTTTAGGCCAGGGATGCAGTCTACCTTTTCGGGTAGCGAGCGGAGAGTGAGGCTCAAAAGAAAAGGTGATAAGACTAAGCCTTGGGGTGTAGCACGAGAGATGAGAGCGAACGTGGGAGACAGAAGATCCCCCACAATGGAGTTTGGCAGTGTGATCAGTAAGGAAAAAGTGAACATAGTTGAAGAGTCAAGTGCCGGGGTTTAGGACTCCAAGTTCAGTGAGAATAGCCTAATGAAAGATTTGGTCAAACGCCTTATGAACATAGAGGCTGAGAAGGGCCTTCGTGTCCGAGAAAGTGCATGAGCTCAGGAGGTCGTGGTGAAGTTGCAAGAGAACGTCTTTCATTGAGAGTCCAGGATGAAAACCAAGCATAGTATGGGGAAGGAGCCTGTAGGCGTCCGGTGTGTTTGCAAGGGAGCAAGAATTATGTGTTCTATGAGCTTGCCGATGCAGGAGGTAAGAGAGGTGGATTGGAGATTTATGATCGCGAGCTTTTTGCCAGGTTTCGGAATGAAAGCTATGCACGTCTGCTTCTATGACTTCGGGATATTGCCAAAGCACCAGCAGTGATTGAGAAAAAAAGTAAGTGTGATGACCGAAGTGGCATGAAGATTGCGAAGAAGCTTATTGGGGACTCAGTCAGGGCCAGGGGCAGAATTGGTGCGACACTTGAGTCGAGCTGCGTAAACCTCCGCTTTCATATGTCATCGTCTTGTTCGGAGTTGGAGGACACAGAATAGCTCTCAGAAAGGGCGGAGGGAGCATCAGAGGGCAAGGGTTGGAGTTACTTGGCAGCCAGGTCTTTCATGAGTGATGATGTGCCACTGGAATGGGCCCAAATCACGCGCTGCAGCTTCTGCTGGGTGACAGACACTGCAGGCGTAGAGTTGAGAAGATGCCGTAGGAGATGCTATGATTGCTTACAGCCCAGCTGACTGGAAAGTCCCGTGTAGAGCTTTTCCCGTTGCTGGTGAAAGGGTAGTTATGTGCGTTACGATTTACCGGTCAAGGTATGCGATTTGGCGTTGAAGACTACTGTTGTCTCATTGCTTCTTCCAGCAGTTGGTGAAGCTTGCATGAGCGGCCTGCAAGTGAGCAAGGTGGCAGTGAGTTGCCGTATGGCTGTTCGTAGTGGTGATTGAGGCCGTGACATTGTCGAGGTCCGGCAGTAGCTGGTCAGTCCGCTGTGAAAGGCCGTTCCCATTTCAAATAGTTACAATAGAGCAGTCAGCTATGATTAGCATTAACAGAAGCTTCTTCAGCTTGCGATTGTGAACGTCGGGTAGCGGAGGCGGTATGTAATGTGGTGGCTTTGCTCAAATACTCTCGAGCATGAAAGCGTGTAGGGTATTGATTGTCTCCTTAAGTGATTGAAGGGACATTGTTGAAGGGAAAACAGCAAGGTCCATGCGCGAGGAGTTGAAGGCCTTGTACTGCGTCGTTAGTAGCTGGTGAACTGAGTTGAAGTGGCTATCTAGCTGCTTCTCGAAATACGCTTGGGCTGTTTTGATGGCTGCTTGAATCTCCTCAGAAAGGTGTCGAGACTTAAGCGGAGTGATGTGGCTTTTCCGCTTACCAATGCACCCGTTGGCGGGTTCAGTGTCCATGTCCGATATGAGGTTGTGAATGAGAGAAGAGCAGATAAAGCGGTCGAGGACTCCTTGTCATCCATCCCCTTCATAGCTTGAAGCGTTCAACAAATCCATGTAACCATGTTTGTACTTCCTAGACTTTAAAATTTGTGAGGGAATAAGCTCTCTAATGAAGCCATTCGAAGATTACTTGGAAAAGTGTTGCAGGGCCCCTTTAAGAATAAGTATACTGGTGTTGCATTTTGTCCGCATTGAAATACAGCTGGTGTGGCCTAGAATGCAGGCCACAAACTCATGCCAATAAACCATCTAATGGGTCAAATGGAAAAGGATCAGCGAGTTGACTGTGCCTGTAGAACATGTGAGAGTGGTCACGAGGCGAGACATTTGCAATGCTTGTGCCAGGCTGGTGCAGCTCCTTTATGGTTCTCTCCTGACAGAGGCCACTGAAGGTTCTACATTTGTGGCTAACAAGAGAAATGGAAATGCTGACCAGAAAGGATCTGGTGACAGTCACAGCAAAACATCAAGGAATTGCAACAAAGGGTGAGCATACACACAATACTTGTCAACAGAAATGTTTGCAGATAGGCCAGTTACTCTACTTGCTCCACGGCCAGCCATGTTTTTACCTTCAAGCTTAGAGGACCATGCTTTTTGTTAATGGCATATTTCTTGTTAGAGGTCATCCCAAAATAATTCAGGATGTAGATATGAGAAATAGTATTAGGTACTGTAATCTAGTTGCTTAATATCATTACCGAATGGCACTACACTTAGGAGCTTCCAGATTTCTATTTATTAGATTCCTGCAACAGGCTTGTTGCAACAGGCCTGTTGCAACAGGTTTGTTTGAATGAAACCAGATGTAAAAACAATTCATAAATTCTCACTATTTTATTTCATTGCTTTTCATCTAAGCTAGCATAGACTGCTTACTAAAAAATCTTTAAAATGTTGTTTGACTCGAAGCCCTGGGTTTGATCCCAGCCATGGTGGTCACATTTTGATGGAGCCAAAGTGGTAGAGGCCAGTGTACTGTGCAATGTCAGTGCGTGTTAATTCTTCCATTACCACGAGAAAATTACTATTTTTTTATATGTCTCAGCCTTGCCTGTTTGGCAAGCACTCTATCATGAATTGCAGTATATAAAATTATGCACAATGAAATGCTCCTCCTCAAAAATATATCTTGTAGAGGAACAAAAATATTTTGGAATGAATAAAAATGTGAAAAGGGTGTAATTTTTGGTTCCCAGCTGGTGAGTAATGCAATAAAGAAACACTTATATGCTAAAACATTGAAAACAAAGAAATTTCATAATATATTTCTTGAAAATGAAGGACCCAGAAAGTGTATAAAAATTAATAGAAGTTCTTCGCAATGTTTTTATTAACATACACAAAAAAAAAAAATGTGCACCAAGGTGCCGCTTCATTGCTCGTGTCATGTGGGGAAGCATTGCTTAATTTTTCGTGATGCATAGGTGCACTCGTGCACATTTGTCAATAACTGTTCGTTTTACAATAAGAGCCTTCGGGTGCTCTAATGTATTTGTATGCCCGTAACTTGAAATATCTCTCAATAGATCAGATGTACAATGAATGTCTAGCATCACCTCTTTTCATGAGCCACTTTTCTCCGCATAGTTTGGCGTTTCATTATATCTATCCAAGCATATTTTTTTTTGTATTTTCACAGGTAGTATTGAAGAAATAACAAAATCGCGTTCAATCTTGAAACGTCTCGCGCCGCTCCGTAGTGCAGGGCCGAGATTTGCTCCGGCGGCCGTCTTCTAAGAAGAAGCTCTGCAGCCGGTGGTAGCACATTGCGCCCTAGCGACGTGTGGACCTTGCATATGACCAGAGTATCTCTAATATTGGTCCCAAAGGTCAGCAGGTACGCACGTGTGGCAGAGGAGACCACTCCAGGTCGTAAACAAAAGCAACCCCTGAACGGCTACGGATGTCTCAGGCTGACGCATTACATTGTCGCCATAAGAACTTGAAGCTGAGGTGCTGTCATTCTCGGACTCGGAGCTTGTCGTCACTCAATTCAGGTGCGGTTGCAAGATAGTTTTGAGTGGCGTGTGTGCGACAATGCCATAGGAGCGACTAGCGACACAGTACGTGGCCCTGTGTTCAATATAACAGGGGTCCAACAGCTGCACCAGTTGTGCCAATTTGATACCATTCCTTATTTGTGCGCTGAACGGCGCCAAAACTCTTGCACCACTCTGCGCTAAAATGCCTGATCAGCCTCTAAATTTTCTCAGTTCCGCTAATTTCAATGAGAAATGGAGGCCACGTTGGCCAGCTGTAGTTTGCTTCATCAATCAATTTAGAGATTCAGGCGCGCAGACCATACTCGCAAAATGCGATTGACCAGATAAAGTAACAACATCGCGCGCCCTTTGGTCCACTGACCACAGCGGATCTCTATCGGCGTGACGACGCAACTTCAAGACAAAAAAATGCGTTGCCGTAGCCAGCAACACTTTGCGAGAAATATGCAATTTTCTAATCTGCAAATGCGGCTATGGCATGCTAGGAACTAAAGCTGGAAGCGTGTGCCCCTGTTACTTCTCACAAACAAACTCAACATGTTGTGAACGCCAGCGTTGCCGCTTGTTTTTGCTCACGCCGTTCGTGTCGCCGCCGAAGTTCCGAGAGAGACCACACCACCGCCGCCGTCACACAATAATGTGCGGCGCGCCGCTGTTTGTCTAACTTATAGCCAAGCGGGGAATCTGGGCATAAAATACATCACTTCACCTTCTTTTCTGCAGCTTTGCCCCGCCACGGTGGTCTAGTGGCTAAGGTACTCGGCTGGTGACCCGCAGGTCGCGGGATCAAATCCCGGCTGTGGCGGCTGCATTTCTGATGGAGGCGGAAATGTTGTAGGTTCGTGTACTCAGATTTGGGTGCACGTTAAAGAACCCCAGGCGGTCGAAATTTCCGGAGCCTTCCACTACGGCGTCTCTCATAATCATATGGTGGTTTTGGGACGTTAAACCCCACAAACCAATCAATCAATCTTTTCTGCAGCTTTAAGATTTCTGAGAACGGCATTTGCGGTGTTGTGATTGCTCTCGTTTCCGTGTTTACATGCGCTGTAAGAATCCCAGAACAGCTTCTGAAGTTCTTTTGACGTCCGTCGTGATGCAAGAACAGTGGCATGATTAGGGCGCATACTCTAACATGGTCCATAGACGAGAAATATGAATTGTAAATTATTTTCTACCCTGCCTTGCCATGCATTCGCCACCCGCCACACCCATTCTTCCTTGCGTCTCGCAAGATTATCATCCACGATAAACTTGTAATTTCGCTGCATTTTGTTAGTTTTTGATTGCGCAAGTGGAAATAAGGAGAGTGTAGCCGAGCAATTCGAAATCCTGATAAGCTCAACGCTTGGCGCTCACTTTGCACACATGCTTTATGAAGACGTAATTCATTCTCGTACTGGCAGACTTGGTGCCGTTATGTTGTATACGAGGGACTATTGGTCAGCTGCCAGCTCGAAGTAAGTTCACATGCTACGTGACGCCACACAGGCTCATAAAAAGAGTGTACCACACTCGCCACCATGGCTACCGGTGGCGCTGACTGACACTTCCACGTTTAAATTTACATATAAACCCAATCAAGTGGCTGGGGGAATGGCCGCCGTGATAGCTCAGTGGTAGAGCATCGAACGCGTTATTCGGAGGTCGTAGGTTCGATTCCTGCTCATGGCAAGTTATTTTTTTCACCTACTTTTCTTTCTTCTTATTTACTTTACATTGATTCTAATAACTTCCCCTATACATTCCTTGGCATTATTGTCTGTTAGATCTCATTGTTATTGTGTCAAAACACAGAAAAACGAGCCCTTAGGTATACACTTCTTTCCCTTATATATATATATATGTGTGTGTGTGTGTGTGTGTGCGCACACATTTACATTTGCTGGTGAAGCCCCAATAAAGGTAGTGCCTTTCATTATTATAAATGACGAAATTTGTGCTCTAACCTTCGTATTCTTAAAGAAGCCTTGACTCGAATTTAGTCCTTCATTTGAACTAGCCGAGCACTGCTGCTTGACTAAAGTTGATGCTGCCCTTCCTAGTGATCACTACAGATTATCTCTGATATGCAGGGACTCGTTCCGCCGGAAAAGAAGCTCCCATTGACTTTGAGTCAAGGGGCATTCAAGAATACTAACGCAATACTCCCAAAAGCCATTATCACCTTGCCGGATTTCATGTTTTGTTAAATATAGTCTTCTCCCCTCCATTAAGACGCATTCACTACAAGTGGTCTATATGTGTATGGGAATGGCACCCATCCTCACCACGTCGAGCACGAAAAGCTTTGAATGCGTTTTTCTTTATTGCCATAATCTTGGCTGGTCTTTTTTTTTTTTTTTTTGCTGCCGCTGTCATTCACCGTATTTGTATTTACATATATGAAAATTCCAGGAAAAAAAAAAAAACGCCCGCGGTCGGCGCTCAGCTTTTCACGATGCGCCAACGCGCGCTTATCTCCCACGCATACTTTGCCCCGCAAAGGGGGGGTGGGTAGATGATGCTTGTATGCGCGCGGTTATCTTTTCGTGGAAACTTGAAAGTTAACATAGGTGGAAAGAATCGCGTGCCTTTGGCTTTGACCGGAACGATTGCGTTTAGTTCCTGGTTGCACAAAGACCACTTCGCTCGCTGGACAAGAGCCGTTTGCGAAAATAGTGTGCATTTCAAACACAGCGAAGTAACAACTGGGGCACTTGCGAGTTCGCACTCTGTCTGTGATTACGTGTCGTGCCTCGTTTTTGTGTAAACAGCGTGTTGTTAGGTAAACGTTGTTAGTTCGCTCTCGTCCTGTGTATGTTGTTTTCGTGCGTCATTTGTGCGTGAGCAGCGCGCTGCACGTTTCGATCTGCTTGCCGTTCTCAGTGTTACATTCCAAATTCTTGCTGTCACATTCACTAGGGAGTTTTAGAATAGCGCACCGCGAGCGAGCCCTCGCGATGTCGTAACGCGAGTCGCCCGTGTTCGCGTCCCGCACGCAGAGAATCCGAAATGGCGTGCGGCGATCGTGGCCCGTGAGGTGCTGTTCGTAGCTTCCATGCATTTGGGTTTGAGGTCAGAGCGAAAGTCTCTAGAGTTTCTCCTAAGGGGGGGGGGCAAATGCTATTCTATACCTCATATGGCGCCCGCAGTGCCTGCAAACGTTATTCTAAAACTCCCTAATAACGTTTGCAGGTGTTGCGAGCGTTGCTTTAGTGACCACGACCTATTCACAGCACTTTGCAGGGTCTCGAACGCGAAGGGCGGTTCGCGTTCGAATATTCTTCTAGGCACTACACCGCAAGTGCTCGCGGTGCGCTATTCTAAAACTCCTATTGCCTCGCCCTTGCGGCAAAACTGTGACTTTTTTTTTTCTTAAACTATGTGCATTTTCTCTCAGACATCTTGCTTCATCATCGAAGTGATTAAATCTGGCATTATTTATCTGAGGTCATTTGGAAGGCGGTAGATAAGTACCCTTCCGAACCCCTAT